CCCACACTGACGCGCCACAAAAATGCCTACGTGTGTACCATTTGGCTGCAAAAACAAAAACAGTTTGTAGGCTATGGAAAGGTGTTTTATTGGTATTTTCACAGCCAGTTGATGTACTAACCAAGAAAATCCATATATACTCCAATGTATCCCATAGTATATAATGTAGCATAACATTAGTCTGGCTACCTCGGACCGACTTGAAGACATTGACTGAATTAGCCATTGACATTGTGTCTAACATTAGGGAGTAGAGATAATGGAAAGTGAATGTCAATGTAGTTATTCTTTATTAAGTGTTGACGCTGTCGTTTTTTTAGTGTTTGTTGTATTTCTCATTTGAAAAAGTCCTGTGCAGATCATCTAGGTACAGTGAAAGTCCCTATTCTGGTTCTAGCTATGATTGATGCAAAAACTCAATTATAGACCCTAAATTTTAAGTCTTTCAGGCGAACCTATTAAAAATTACACAACTGCCTCCCCCCTCTTTGATCTGTCACACCCCATCAGCACCTATGCTTTATCTTATTAGATAATGCTCGTCTGTGATTCAGATTATCTATCACAGTGTTCTTTTATGTATTAAGAAAAATATATTCAGGACGTTCTTGATTTTAACATAATACAAACATAATTTGTATTATTTTGAATGATAAATATTTAATAAATATTTACTGTTTCATATAGTAAAACGTGTTCAGTGCATTAAAGTCACACAGTAAGGTTAATGCAGGCTCAGTGTGCAGCACTGACAGCTGGAGGTGGAGCTTAAGGCCACAAATCCACATGTCATATAAATGCAACTTGTTCAAGCTGCATTAGTTCATCTAACTGCCTGAACATATTATCACATTTTGCATAGGTGTATGTCTGACACAAAAAGTGTATCTTACTAAATATTGCATCCCAGCTGTTTAAGATTGCAGTATTGGGAAGATTTATATTGAAAGGACATTTATGAAATCTGTGTAAAATAAGTGAAACTTTTAGAAACAATGCTTATAATCCCACCTTATCTTTGCAATACTGAATTCAGGAGGATGCTTAACAAATCCTTACAGCTTAATGTTAGAGACATGTTGGTGAGGGAGGGATCTTAGAATAAATGAGTCTCCTTTACAACCCTTTTTAGTGCTTTCTGCTCCTCTAAATGAGGGTGCCAATAGTAGGCCAGTAAAGATACCTTCTTTTGGACAATAATAAATTAGTGATTTATTAAAAGGAAATGAAGAAATCAGTGGATCGATTTATTCAGCCAGTTTATGTAACATTCTAGTAATGATCTAGGTCCTAGGCCTAGAAGTAAATGAGATGTTTATCTGGGGAATTCATTTATTTTTAGATTAGAAGGTCAGCCAGGGCGAGTTTAGATATACAGTTTATGTGACTGCTAATGTGCTGCTGTTTTGTTTACCATTTAAAAAATGAAAGGCATCTATCTTGATATGTTCCACTGTCCAGTTTGTTTATGTGAAGCTTTGGTACATCAATAGAGGTTTAACAATGTTATCTTAGATCAGCTAGAAATGTTGAATTACACAGTAAAGTAGACCAGAGTTTATTTATTTTTTATGTATTGGGTTTAAAATTGCTGTAAAGGGATTTCTGGAGTTATTTTTAGTTTATCCTTAAATGGAACAAGAAGGTCTTTTCCCTGGTGTTGGTTAGAGCAATCGGATGCTGGTCAGTGTTTCCAGCCCAGAACATCCGTCTCTTCCTGTGACTTCTCCTGTTGGTAGTTTTCTGTTATTTTTGGAGCGTCTGTAAGGGGGGATGCAACGTCTGAGTAGACTTCCTGTGTTCTGACATCAACTAGGGGACACCCTATTTCTCATACATACTGGAATGCTTATTCAAAAAAGATTAGAAATGGTTCTGTTCAGGAGGGAGAGGGACAACAGCTTTGTTCTGCTATGGGGGAAAGTTTCTTTACATTTGGTTTTCCTCGTGAAACAAAAGGGTAAGTGTTGATGTTTATTGTTTTTGTTAAAAATGATTAGCTAACATCCTAGGTAAACTGTCTACCATTGGGATTTTAAATTTTGTCTTTACACTTTTTAGGACTGGATGGATTAACAGTTTTTAATACTGGTATTCTACTGGTATTTATTCCATAGAAACCCACTATCCCTTAGCATGATAAACCAGACTAAATGTGAGATTAAATGTGTAATTTAGTCTGGCTCTGATGAATGAGACATCGGAAGATTGTTGATGAGAACAACCTGTTGTTTTTCAAACCATGTCTGTGCCAACGCTCTGACCAATGAGCGCAACTGACTGTGACATAGTAAGTGAGACAGAAAGCTGGTGGGGGAGTGTAAACAAACAGCCTGTCAGTAAAATGGCGAATACGTCCTTCTTAAAAATAAATGAGCGTAGAGCCTCTTTCTGCTCACATTTCAACAAAACCCCCAAGTCTAATCCTTCCTAAACTGATTCCAAAGCTGAGTAAAACAAGAACTGTTCAATAGTTGTTGCCATCTTCCTTGTGCTTTCTCCAGCGTTGCACAGCTTTGTCGTCACGCCCTCAAAACCCCGCCCGCTTTGCTTCCAGAAATTCAAAACACATCTCTGCGTTGTGATTGGCCCGCCAGATTTAGGGCCTGGGTCATTAATCGAGGCTAGACTACTTGCAGGCAAAAATGATTTTGGCCGCTGGCGGGTTGAGGCTAGTTTACTAGGCTAACCATCCCTAACTTCTGAAGACTATCCTGGTGAGCACATGACTTGGTTTAGCAGTAAGATAGAAAGTAAAGTTTAATTTTATCGGTTTGGTTTCCTAATAGCTGCTGTCAACACTTAAATTCTTTGTGTGTTTGATACATATTGAGCCCAAGTAAAGAAATGTTAGGTTTGTCTTATTATGATAGTTTTTAAATGGTCTTCAAAGAGGATTTATAGAAAAATTCCAAAGAAATTTGTTAAAAAAGGTTAAACATACTTCTAAATTATATTCATTTTGGTAAATAGAAATGTTAGGTAAAGAAAATCTATGTAAAAAAAAAAAAAGGAAATCTTATACCGGTATAAGTTTTTTTTGTTTTATTTTGTTTTTACACTCTCATATAGATTTAGAAGAGGTGTCATTTCATATTTAAAACAACATATTAAATCTATGGAAATATAAAGAAAAAATAGAATTTGAAAATTTTATTTTAGTAACTCAGCTTAGTAAGTGAAGCTTATTTAGTAGATTAAACAAAGAGTGATGTTTTCAAGCCTTTATTTCTTGAAATCGTGAGTTTGTTTTGTTTTATTTTTTTCATTCAGCTAATAAAACACAAAGTTTTGGATTAAACTATTACAGCACACCAGCAGAAATAAAAAGTTTTTAAAACAGAAATTTGTTATTAATGAAACCAAATTCTCTTTGCAGCTATTTAAACATATGTTTAAAACGTGCTTAAAGATTATTTATAAAACTTAGTTTTAATCTGATAAACAATATGACTATAAATCTGCTGAATATGCAGGAATAGGTTTGGGCTTAACTGCAACTTTAGGAGACTTCTATCAGTTTATCCAAACACACCAGAATTAGGGAAATGGTTGTTTGTGCTCTTGGATATTTTCCCCACCTCATCCATAATAAAGATGTTTGAAGTGAAGTGACGTTTCTATCTTTGTTTCAATGCTTTTTAACTGCATTTTGAGGTATTGAATTAGACAGGGTCTTTGCTTGATTTGATCGTTGACTTTTTCAAAAGAGTTAATAAGTTAACGGGAGATTAATGAGCACTGTAGTAAGTGAACATTTGTCTCTCATAATCAGCTGTTTTCACTGTCTGCTTTTCCCCAATATGCATTAGAATTGCATTTATTTTTCTACAAAAAAAAGCATTTTATTCAACTGTTGATAAATGCATAGGCTGGTTGATTTGCTCTAACCAATAAATAGAAACATGCCTAATTTGTCTTTTGGCAACATTTTAAAAGGGGTCTTAAAATTGTAATGGCAGTTTAATGGAAACAATAACAATAGCTCTTATTTAATGTGCAAACTTAAATATTTTGGCTGAAAGTCTGCAGTTTGAGCTCCTGATTGTATTTTGTTTTTCATTTTACTTGTTTATTCAATAGGGCTAAATATAATGAATGTTCCTTCATTTGTATATTAATGAGCAGTTTTTTTATAGATTTTTCTAGAGTCAGAAAAATCCTTGATTTAAAAAAACAGCTGACAAGTTTAGTGTTTTTAAATTTGATAAATGACTTACGGTTTCCTCCTGCTAGTATTTTTTATGTCGCACTAATTGGAGCTCCCTGCTATTTTGTTTATGTCACAGACTGCTCTGGCAGTGCGTATTCAGTAGGTCAGGGTTGTACACACTGAAGTTTGCAGATGTTTTGATACAAACAAAGCTTTAGCACATCAGGGCCTCAGTGTATCAGGATTAAAGGAAGCAGGGTGGAAAGCTGCATGAGTTTGCACATAAAATAAAAAGTCTAAAATCCTTGTTTAAATAATATATCATGGTATGCAAATATCTTTTCAAGTTTTTTTTATGTGTGTTGTTATAACCTACCCCAATGTGAATATTATAACCATCTTAGTATGTTTTGTTGGGGAATGTTTTGTCTGCAGACATTTTTTCCATTTCTTCATCCCTCTGTCCCCCCCGTTCTGCCATAGAGACATTTAAAGACTAACTGGAAACATTTTTTTTTAATACATTTAAATAATCAACCAATGGCTTTCTGCTTCCACAGACCCCATCTTCTCCACCTCCACTTCAAAATATGATAGACTTACTTTTGTTTGTGCTGCAACTTGATTATGTTTACATAGTTTTATATAAAATCTGCCACATTTTAACTTTTGATTCTGTTATTGTCTTTTTTCTGTTCTTCATTTATGATCTATCCCAGAGACATATTATTTAAACCTATTTAGCTGCAGTAGAAAAAACCTCAACGTTACTCTCGTTTTAGTGGGTCGATACATTTTTGATTTGTTATGATAATCCTAAAATAGTATTTTCTTTTTCTGTCCACAGGTGATTGACAGGTGTACGCTGCCTTTAGCTGTAGCTTTCATGTCTATACCATGAGCTGGAGCTTCCTGACACGTTTGCTGGAGGAAATCCACAATCACTCCACATTTGTGGGCAAGATCTGGCTCACAGTCCTCCTCGTCTTCCGCATCGTCCTAACAGCTGTGGGCGGCGAGTCGATCTACTACGACGAGCAGAGTAAATTTGTCTGCAATTCAGGCCAGCCTGGCTGTGAGAACGTCTGCTACGACTCTTTTGCTCCTCTCTCACATGTCCGCTTTTGGGTCTTCCAAACCATCCTGGTGGCGACGCCTTCTCTAATGTACCTTGGCTACGCTGTGAATAAAATCGCTCGTGCAGAAGAGCAGGCAGATATTGGGGAACCGAGCAGATTATCACGAAACAAACTTAAGAAGGCTTATATGACCAACAGGAAGCAGCACAGGGGCATTGAAGAGGCTGAGGATGACAATGAGGAAGATCCAATGATCTACGAGTTGAAGGAGGCAGATGATGATGGAGATCTGGATGCAAAGGGTGACAGTAGTGAGAGACAAGGGAAAGTAAAGGTTCGCCATGATGGTCGGCAGCGAATAAAAGAAGATGGACTGATGCGCATTTACGTGTTTCAGCTATTGGCCCGTTCTGTCCTGGAGGTGGCGTTCCTCTGTGGACAGTATGCGCTGTATGGATTTGCTGTACCGGCCAGATACGTGTGCTCAAACATACCCTGCCCGCACTCCGTGGACTGCTTTGTGTCACGGCCCACAGAGAAAACAATCTTCCTCCTCATCATGTACGCCGTCTCCGTCCTCTGTCTGGCACTGAATCTGTGGGAGATGCTTCACCTGGGCATAGGCACCATCTGTGAGATAATACGGTCCCGACAAATGCAGCTGCATGACGAAGAACTGTACGGACTCACGAAGAGAAACAAAGCAGTTCATGAGGCAGAGTTATGTGAAGATTATAACAGCTCCCCTTTTACCTGGAATGAACCGACGGCCCCTCCAGGGTACAACATCGCCGTCAAACCTCCCTCAATGTCAAAAGGAAACCACATCCCACCTCTTCCCATCACTGATCTCACCAACGCCAAGATCACTTGCAGACAAAACCACGTGAACATCGCTCAGGAGGAGCGTCAGCAGTACATTAATAATGAGGAAAACCAGAGCAGAGATGGGAGGGGAGATGGTCAGAGGAGTTCTCAGAAAGACGTTGGCCAGCCTCAGAAGAAGCTGAACGCTAACAACCGGACCTACAGCCAGCTGCAGGGGTACAGTCACACCAATAAGCCCAGCCATGAACGTAAACACCAGCAGTCCTCCAGGCATCCCTCAGGCAAGACCAGAACCAACAGGAGCAGCAGCGGCACGAGCAACAGCAGTAAATACGGAATGATAAAGGGTTCTGAATGGATCTGAAATAAACAGGCCATTCACACACTGAGACCAGCGGTTAGAACTGATGCAGCTACATCACTAGATATTGGCTCTAATGCAACATTTTGTAACAGTTTTTATATATTAATGAATACAGTGTCTCTCCAACTGTATCATTTTTGTATGCTCTTCAGGGAAAAATAAAATATTCAAAATCTAAATTCAGTCAATACTATTATCTTTTGGACTATTTCTCCACTTTTGTTTATTTACAATAGACAGCGAAGTAATAGAAAGAATAGGCTAGATCCCATTACAAAGAATTAAGCATCTTTATGTAAAATTGTATAAAAGTAGAAATACATGGGATCTGAAGAAAGGCGATATTCAGTTATGAGTTAATGGAAAATTTACAGAAGTTATTGTTGGTGGATAATCATATCCCGGGTTTTTTGTGCCATTTTCATTTGATAAGAAAATCTGTTAGTTTTGGTGGGCAGAGACCTCTATTGTTAGTGCCTTCATTGAAGAGCCAAAGAACTGTTTAACTGTGTCTAGGTAGTTTTTTTTCTCTATAAACTAGTCTCATTAAAATGGACAGGACCAGTTTGTGTACAAATAATTCTAATTCTCAGCTAATGTTTCGAAGTTTGTTTTTCCACTGAGCCAGCTTTATGTGGATTCTTTTCCTTATTCAAAAAGAACAGTTTGGAAAATAACATTTTACAATGTTCTTGGTTTTTTTTTATTCTTTGGATTAAGAAAAATAAAATTTCTTATTTATGTTTTTTTTATTTGATGACCACACTTTGATGTTTACGTTTAAAGTTAATGGAAAGGTTTGGTGTAGGTTTCAGTGCAACGTGTTCCTACTTTAGTTCAGCAGTTGGTCTATTCCGCAACCCATGCAGTGCCCAAACCTCATGTTTAACCTCGCCTACAGTAGATATGATTGGTCTTTAAACTAAAAGGATGAGTTTGGTTTGTTTAGAGATATTTTTGTACCACCGAATAACTGCATGTTTGAATAAAAAAAAGTCTATTTTCTCTGCCTAGTTTGTCTTGTATCAGAAAGTTTGCAAAGTAGAATTGATAAAAAAAAAATGCTTTTACTCTTTGGACAAAAAAAAATTCACCTTAGGCTGATATTTACAGAAATATCGCCATCTCCTGTAAAGCAGTGGGAAAGCATAATTTCCTGTCCTTAATATTTGAAATTTAATGCAGTGACTTTAACCAAAGTGTCAATTTAAAGAGTAAATATCAAGTTTGTTCCTTGAAGTATATATTTTATTTATGTATTAGCTGCGTTATGTTTTATTAATAGATGAGTAAGTATATTTTTCCTAAGAAATAATGGAAAACTAAAACGTTAGATTAAATATTATTTTTACACATCACTTAAAAACTACAGAAGTACTTTTGTAAATAATCTGCTTAGGTTGCTCTGAACGTTATGATCTGATCACCTTATTGTATTCTAGTCTATATATTTTAAAGAACCGGAGGGATGTATTTTCAAATGTAGGCCTCTTTATATTGAAAAACCAGTTGTGGACATTCAATGCTTAGTTAAATTATAAAATCTATTACTTTTAACAGCAGCATTGTGTGTCATGTTCTGTTCTTTCTTTACAAATCATCACTAAAATCTTGTTTCATAACTAAGTAAATATTTAATTCACAATTTATTTTCCTATACCTATTAAACAGCTAATTACAAACGATGAGCGTACATAGAATAAATGTTGAAATTGCTTTTCATGGTGGAAAAAAAAAACAGTAATATGGTTCACACTCCTTACCAATTGGTGGCGGTAATGCTCACCTAACGTTTTTGCCAACCGCCATAAAAATTTCAACAAGAAGAAGAAGAAGAAAAAAAAACAGAAGAACAACGGATCTTGTTTCCCGGAAGTGACGTTGCCATTGTTTTTGAAAAAGCGGCGGCGGTTTAACATCCGAGCATTAGCAAGTAAATGGACATATTTTATATATCAATGTTTTTAAGGTGATAACTCGAGGTAAGTCGAAACTTACAGTTAACAATTTACCGCGTGTGTTTGAATGCGAAGATATGTTTTAAGTTCAAACGTTTCACGTCTCGGTGTCTGTTTTGTGAGGAAAGTTAAGCTAGCTAAAGGGTAGCTAAAGCTCGTGACTTGACTTCGGCACTTAAGTTTTTTCTTACACTGTTACATAAAATACTCCTAGAAGTTGCAAATTACCTTCATTAGAAAAATAATTACAACTATATAGGGCTTTTTCCTAGTTTACCCTTGTAAAGACAGAAAATATAATTCCTTTGGAAAACGAGAGGAACCATAAACAACCCTACCTCTTAAGTGTTTATACGTTAAAGCTATATGATATTAGAAATCCATGCAAAAGCTTAGTGTTATGTCTTCTTTGTCTAAGTCTAAGCTCTTTGGTTTTGGTGGGTGAATTATTATAAGCAAAATGGATAAAAAGTAAAAGATTCAATATTTGCATCTGAATGGCAGGATTAATTTTTAAAAAATGTTTCTTCCAAACAATGCCACCTCCCATGTCTTAGAAACAACTCAGTTGTACTTATTAAAGACTTGACCACCTACTACTTCTGTATTTATTTATTTATTTATTTTACCACTTATGCTTTATTAAACAACATGAGTGTCCAAATATATTACTGGCATAGATGTCATCCATCAGAAATGTAGAGTTGATGACTAACAATGAAGGAAAAAAAATGTAAAGAGTCTGATATTGATCTTTTTGAAACCCAGATTGTTACTGAAGTAAAATAAAAACACTATTTGTTTTTTTTGGTTTTTATTTTGCCCTTACGTCAAACCCGATTATACATTTTCTGTCATTAATTTTTTTTTATTATTTCTGTAGTCCTGTGAACCCATTTAGTCATGCAGCCCCAGCAGTCATCACAGGAAAAAGGGCTTCTTGGTAGATTGTGTTCTGGAGACAAGAAACTAGAGGGGAAGACATTCTACCTCGACAATGTGAAGAAACGCTCAACAACCCTGCTCCTGGAAGCCATATCTCTTTTAGGAGGGGTAAGCATCTAGGAGGATCCTACAGGTGTTGATGAAAACATTTCTCCAGTTTAGTTATTTGTTTATTTTTATTTGAGTGGTTTTGAATTAGGTTTTGACAAGGGAATACCACTGTTAATACAAATCAATGCTAAAAACTAATGATAATCTTCCATTTCAATTTTAACTATTGTTTCCCGAGGATGTCATTTATGACTAGAAATTCTGAGCTCTGTATGTTCAGGTGACACACAAGGAAAAGACTAGCTGTGAATTAAGTTTTATAGCAGAAGCTGATTTTTTTTTTTTTTTTTTTTCTTCTTCAAAGAGGTTTGAGAGTTTTCTGCACAAGGATGTAAACTTTGTAGTGACTGGAAGCCATGAGAGCCTTGAAGAAGAGAAAAGTGTGTTTACTAAAAGTGAAGAGAAGGGGGCCAAGGAAGGAAGTCAAACTCTGATGACGAAGCCTGATGGTGGCCTCAGCAAGGACAAGCAGCGACAAGCTACACCTCGACTGGTGGTAAAATATTTTTCTAATCATCAAACACAAACTGTGGAGCTGTAAACCTTTACAAATGAAAATCTGCAGAATAATGTGTATTTATATACAACCCGTAAAGTCTGTAACTTTCAAAACACTGTTAAAGATTGTATTCCTACAGTCGGATACTGGTGCTAACATACTTCAGCTTGGAGATGTTGTGTTAATTTTTGTTCCCAACTGTCCAGAATTCCTTAGTCTACATATTTACTGTGTCCCTTCCATGGCTTGTTGCAAAGAGCACCGCCAATTAATTTTTGTCAACTGTGGCTTCATTATAACTAGCTTACCATTAGCATCTTGATTTTAGCACTGTCAGTTTAGGTTTCTTTAGCCCCATTTACACTACCCTTGAAAAACCGATCCAGGCCGAGACCAGTCAGAGCTGGGATCGGTAACCAGGCCAAGCTCAGTTTTGACGACCGTTCACACGTCACACTTATCTCGGTTA